GCCTAAAGAAGTTAGAGCTTTAGTTAAAAAAAAAAAAAGCTTATTTTAAAAGAATGAACATCACCAACAGCTTCAGAAAATAACCTTTTCCTGTCCAAAAAAAATCCTATCACATTCTAAATATCGTAATTTTCATTGGAAATTTCCAGTTTTCACATGAACTCTATGTTTAGTAATTGCTGAGACCAAGATTAGATGGGGCAGTAAAGGGCACTACTTTTAAGGGGAAGACATTCTAAATGCTCTAAATTCATGAGTGAGCAAAATTATTTTTACTTCAGATAACAATTAGGTGTTATAAACCAAAAGAAATAAAAAAACAAAGGTGATTTTTGTAATATCTGATGGGTAGGTTCATGCAATCATCACTATCATTTCCTGAATTCCAACAAATGTATATTAATCAATTCAAAATAAATGACTGCAAGTGTCAAGACTCATTTACAAGCATCTTTTTTACCTTTATGTTTATAATACACAAAGGCAGCAATGACCAAAAGTTATCACATGATAATTGATTCACCTACTGACAGCTAATGGGTTTATTGTACATGGAAGTTGCCTGAATGTTTATGTCCCCCCAAAAATCTTATGTTGAGATTTACCCTCCAAGATGATCATATTAGGAGGTAGACTCTTTGGGAGGTAATTAGGTTAAGAGTTTGCACTTGGAAATGGAATTAGTAACCATAATAAAAAAGACCCAGAGCTCCTTGATCTTCTGCCAGGTAAGAACACAGCCAAAATGCAATGTCTGTGACCCAGGAAGTGCGCTCTCAACAGACTTCAAGTCCCCCTCAGTGTGAGAACTGAATGTCTGTTGTTTCTAAGACAAGCAAGCTGTGGGGTTTTGTTATAGCAGCCAGATGCCAGGCTATGATACCTGTTCTCTCACTTTGCATCTAAATCAGTCTCTGAGTAACCTGACTGCAAGTGAGTCATCCCTACTGCTTCTCACATTAGGAAGACACTAAGTTGTTTGCTCACTCTGTGCTAGCAGGGTGGATATTACAAAGTGCATGACTTATGTGAAATGTCTGTAAGATAAAAATATAACATCCCTGAGTAAATTTTTCCTCTACTACTAAACCCCGCCATTTGGGTTGGGTCTGCAATGTCAAAAAGTGGATAAGATGGGAATGTGCATCTATTTCCTGCCTAAAGAGCAGTCTAGTTTATCCTGACTATATATCATTGGAAAAGGAGACATCATAGGGAAATGCCTTATCTATGATCTTTACAGTATAAAATGTCTGCTTAGGTACCAGTTATTCTAAATCTTGCTCTTGTTTATGTTTCTGGGAAAGGATTCAGTAATCACAGGCTTAGAAGACTTAGCAGGTCAAGACAGTCAGATTAGCTGTTCCATAACTCAGGAGATCTACAAATGCATTTTTTGCAACAAACCTTGTACTTGTGGGCTTATTTTAAACACTTAAAAAATAGTCACACTCCAACTGGCTTTTGAGAGTAAGTAATTGCTTGGCAGGGTAAGACACTGAACCACAGACATTCCAAATTGGGGAAAAAGGAAAAAATTCTCACCATGCAAAGCCTCCCAGGAAGCAGACATGGTTTTAACCTTCAGCTAGCAAATGCCCTCCTTCCTCATGAGGGGCCCTTAATCAAAGCCCAGATAAAATAATGCATCACTGAAAAGAAGATACAGCAAACATTTCTTCGACCTCCTCACCATGCCAGCAAAAGTGTCTGATCATATAGTGAGCTCAGCATCCTCCCCAAAAGATATGAAGGGAAGGCAAGGCTGCAGCAACCTTTACCAAAGCTTCAATACCCCTTAATAAACACTAGAGTTAACATACTTAGAAAGGGCTTGCTCACAAGTAGAGTGCTTGTGAGCCACCAGGGAAATTGCAGTTTCCTGCAATCCTACAAAATGTCCTCTAGCAATGTATAGCTCAGCACTTCCAATTTGTTGAGTTCCTTATCTCAGCCTATTACCTCAAAAAATCCCCATATAATGAACTCCTAGGTGAGGGCTTAAAGAACCCCAGTAAGCAACTGAACAAGGAGGCTGAGGAATGGCAGAAGGAAGGGAAAGGTGCATGTGGTGATGTTGCCAGTGCCCATCTCTGGTGTCATACATAACAGCAGGCGCAGCCTTCACTGCTTCAACAGAAGCAGTCTCCAGTTTCCAGGCCGTGATCCATTGCAGGCTGCCCGAAGGTGATCAGAAGAGGCCAACTTCTGAGATGTTAGCCAACTTGCTTTCTACTAATTCACCCAAAGAACTCCAGCCATTCATAGTTTTTAAACAGTTCTATTTCCTCAATGCAAAAATATATGAATCCTAAAAACTTTATTAGGCATTAGATTTTCCATATTCTTTGTGGAGTTGTTATAAAGGGGTCAGATGCACTATTTTTATTTAAAAAAATGTGGAATAAGTGATCATACGGGTGATGTCCTGTGCACAGCACATGCACCCCAGTGGCACAATGGGCAGGATACCACCTACTAGGGCAGAGCATCGTGCCACAGGAAAACTTGGGGGAAAGTGGTTTATTCTCAGGCTTATCAAGTCTTGGACTCTGCCCAGGCTGTCAAAGAATTCTACTCTCAGAAACTGCTTGTGGGAACAGATTTCTCTTTTGAACAGAAATGATTCTAAAGACTCCTGGGGTTCATGAGGAAGTGTCTTTGTTATGAGTGGGAACCCAAGCAAAAAGTCTTTATATTCTTTCTCTCTATCTTCCAATTCCTCTGCAATTTTTCACCACTCCTGCTATGAAGAGAGCATATCACACAATGGAGGAAAGCCACAACAGCAAACTGAATGCTGCACCATAAAAGCCACACACACACACACACACACACACACACACACACACAGTTGAATACAACAATTAGCAGAATGGCGGAAGGGAAAAACATATAAAGAGGAAAACTTTCAGATGATACTACTTGGATGAAAAGCTCACTTGCAAATTCTTTCTCAATACATTTACATCTGTGAGTGCTTTGATTACAACATGTCGTATAGTGTTGTGAGCACAAGCTTGGAGAAAAACTGGTTCAAATCCCAACCCCACCACTCACATTATGTGAACTTGAACATTTTTTTTAAATGAGTCCCTGCCTCAGTAGCCTCATTTGTTAAACAGGGGTAAGGATTGAGCTGTTAGGGCAATTAACCCTGTTAAGACAAGCAAAATGTTTAGAATAATGCTCAACAAAACTACAATCATTAAAATTGCTCTCATCTGTATTTCTACAGATGACCCTACAAGATCTTTATGAAATAGAAGTGATCATTTTATCTATCTTTTACTGAGTACACTTAGCCTTTATTAAATGATGTGCTAAGGACATAAATAATCTGTGCTTGTGCCAAGATCTGAATGCTGATTTTAACAGGATTCTCTGCATTACATTGGATCATTTACATGTAAACCACAGCAAAAACAGCCATAAATTCCTAAATAGAAGAAAACTATTAAGGACAGCATAGCACCTATTCTAGGAATAAATAGCTGATCAACTAATGGCAGAACTTAGCAAAATAAAGCTGATATTTAGATACAGTGTGTAGCAACTTGGAAATCCCAAATTCTGAGGTGGGGGGATAAGGTAAGATTTATCAAGATGTATTTTTTGTTAAAAATTTACTTTTTATGAAAACAGATTCACTCTCATCTTGAGAAAACTCAATACACAAAAATGCAGATCTACAAGATAGTTGAGTAATTCATGATAAAGTGAACCAGTGTAGGACATAGATGCTTACATGTGAAGCTTGACGTCTTATTGAAATCCAGCAGTGGGCTTCATAAGATCTAATACACTAGTGACATTCAGGCTAGACCCTCTGAGATCTAGAAAACTGGGAATTTCATCCCTCAGAATCCTTAGCCACATGACACAAGTTTTATGAAACAAGCAAAAGCGGTGAATATAAATGAACACCAGGCAGAGATTCTTCCTTTCCTGATGAATTGTGTAATTTAGAGCATTTAAATAAATCCATAGGGAAGAAATTCTTTCATGACTAGCACTCTTTCTAGGATTTGCATCTATTCCAATCCATTCAGTTTGAATGTGTTAGCCTTCAAAGGCCTATATTGAATCTTCCATTTAGTAAGCTCAACTTTTTATTTTATACATTGAGTTTTGATGTTTAGTATGTACTCCACATGTAAATCATTCAAGTTACTTCTCAAAATAATGATTTAAGCATTTGGACAATTCACATTAAACACTAATCAATCGTGTACTAAAAAGTATAACCTTCCCAGAAACTGAATGGTCAGCAAACTGCACTGCACATGTCAGTGAGTTCACTCAGTTCACCATCAGGTTTCTATAAAACTTTTACAACAGTTCACATAAGATTTCTTTTAGGTTCATCTGAGTAACTCACTTTAAAATGCCCATACATCCAAAATCAACTGATAACACATTCCATAGCTAAAGAAACCCTCTTTTTGCATTAAGTCTGAATTACGCTTTCAATACGAGGTGTGTAATATTCTAGAAGTATGCCTCTTACAGCCAATCAAATAGAAATCTTTGTGCGCTTAAATATTTACTTTAAAGTCTATAAAATATAAATGCAGCTCATGAGTGAATATTACTAAGACATAAAAGTAGAAAACATTATTTAAGACAAAGAAATGAATTAGAATTTTCTCTTCTGAGTAGACTTTACCTCTACACCCCAGTTATGCTCAAGGCTATATGTAATTCTATAAGACAAAATTAAAAACAGATGACAGAAAAGCACTGTTAAGAAATTAAAAACTGCAAATGTAGACATCTCTGAGTAATCATTTATGATTTGGAGACAAGCATTTCTACTTTATTCCAATAGTTAATCCTGTCTTCCTTGGACTGATTTATAGTCAGCAGTTATCTGTTGGCTAAATGACCCAACCTCCTCACCTTCAGTAAACCATATCTCTAGTGCCCTCCCAAAGCCCAGTAAATTGCCCAACTCCCAGTTCCAGCCTACGAAGTCAAGACCTTGATCTCTCGCTTACCTGTTTCCCATCCAGGGTGTACAGACGCTTCACCACTCCCGAGTCCAGCTTGATGGCATCCGTTATATCGGTGAGGACCTGCTCAAAGGAATGAGCAGTTTTCTTGTTCAGCAGAATCCTGACAGCTTTCCGTGGCTTCACCCCACTTCTGATGATGGTGACCAGCTTAGGCCGAATGAAATCCTTATTCTCCCGCACCTCTGAAGGGCCCCCTTTGGCAGTGGCCAGTGAGGACACGGCCCGGGAAGCTGAAGTGGTCTTCACGTTCACCGACCAGTTGGGGTTCACATTCTTGGTATACTCCAGTTTCTTAAAGGGCTCAATTGAGCCACACACATAACTCTCTCCTAAGGAAAAGAGAAATATATATATGTGTACACTAACTTTATATAACACTTTATATGAAGCCCAATTTCTTTTTCTCGTCTTTGATTTCTATTTTCGATTGAGCAGTGAAAGTCAATTATGATATTTTTAAACAGTGGCAAAATACAAAAGATCCTATGAAACACGCAAATAATTATGATTAAGAATTAATGAAGGAGGAGATTTCTGCTATAATCTGGGATTGGGATCCTAGGGAGAACTATCATTCTTCCTTTCTTCATCTTCAGATTGGTGAGCGAAATATTAATATAACTCAAGAGACTTCAGGAAATTATAAAATTTAACGTACAATATGAGGTATTCCTTGGGATTTAGGAACATTTCTATTTGCAGTAAATTTTAAAAATTATTAATACCCACATTTGCTACCTGAGATAAAACTGAGACTAGATCAGAAAATAGATATTTAAATAATGGCATAATTTATAAGCATGAAGGGAATATGTACTAAACATTTTTGTAAGTCAAGTAAGATTCCAAAAGTAAGTAACAATATTTCCTTCATCCCCCTCTACACAGAGCCAAGCATGCCACCCAACATACTACCCACATGCTACCCACACAGCACCACTTCACAAGTGTGAAGCCAAACCTGTTTACAGAGAAATGGTTCTATGCATGGTTAATTGACAACCTGTACCTTTATAAAATGCTTTCCAAATAAAAGTAATTATATAAAATAAATGATATCTAGAGACATAATATACAATGTCACTACCTAAATAGTATAACTGAAATATGATAATTTATACTATTTAACTTATACTATATATAGTTATGCTATCTAAATAGTATAACTGAAATATACTAAGTAGAACTTAAATGCCATGACAAAAAATAAATAAATAAATAATAAATATATATAAGGCATAGGGTGTAACAAATTAATTAAAACAGAGGAATCTTCTCACAACATGTAGGTACATAAAATCATCATGAGGCATACTTTAAATATCTTACAATTTATCATTTATTTTCTAATAAAGCTGAAAAAAGAAATTAAATAAAAATAATATTTTTTTAATTAAAAATGACTCTGAACAAATAATTTTTTAGTGAAAACATTCAGCCTATTACACTGATATGGATCACACTAAAATGAAGTAACACATGTAAAAAGCAATGCCAAATTATAAGGTGACTGATACTAACTACATATTTCATTAAGTTAGGTCACAGTGTTTTGAAATTAAAAACTTTATAATGACTTTTTTCTGTGTTACTAAGTCTTTGTAACTGGGAATAGGTAAAAATGCTCAAAGTCTTCATAAGTGCAGGTAAAATGAACTAGGACTAATTCAACACAGCCCATTTACTTTTACCTAAGTCCTTGTCCTATTTTAAAATTAATCGTGCAAACACCCAAGGCCAGAGAATAAGTATTCCCATAAAAATAACTCAACCATGGTTTCAAAAATAGAAAAACATAGTTATACATATCATCAAACATTGACTTTGAAAATGTTTTACAACTATACTTTCAAAGCTTATTTATACTTCCTAGCTCACTAGAAGTGTTACAAATAGTACACATTTAACAACCACCTTTACTATTCACCTAGCAGATTGTGATCTCTACAGTGCTTCTCAGATTTGTTCAGGTGCCATAAATATGCAGGTAAAGGCTGCAAAACAGTGGTATTTCTGAGGCTTTTGTGGAGATCTGTGTGAAGGTCACAGTGGGAAGGGAGATTTGGAAGTCTGGCTCAAGACCTGGTTTCTCCAAGTACATAACCTTGGGAGAAGTCCCCAAGACTTTTCAGGAGTGGATTATTCAGCTGTCAAATGAAGATTCTTGCAGTGGCCACTTTAATCTGACCAAGTTTTTTGTAAAGGTCAAATTAGACAATAGAGGTCAAAGCAATCTCTAAGGCAAAACTGTCATATAAGTAAAAGCATCTCAGGCTGCATTACCCTAATTGTGCAGCAAGCCTGAAAAGAAAATTTAAAAAACACAATTACTAGAAATCAGTGAGCAGGTTTTATATTATCAGATGCTAATTGTTTCTAGCCCACATAGCTAGCAGTGAACATTGGCTGGGTTCATCTCAATATGAGTATGCCCTAAATGTTCCCCAATGCCCCAATGATACAGTCTGTAATTTACTCAGTAAAATTTGTCATTGTCAAAGTCCTGTGCTAACAGAGAATATACAATTTTCCAATTATGTATAGCTTTAGATGATATTAATAATTAAAATCAATAACATGGAATCATTTTATGCATCAACAAAAGAAACTTTTTAACAACATGAAACAATAACTAAAAAGGAAAGGGATTTTAAAGTATTCATCTAACAATATAGAATGGGTTTTTGAAAGAAAAAATAAGTTATTTTCTTACATCTTTTTTTTTTTAAGATTTATTTATTCATACAGAATTGGGCTACAAGTCAGACATGCAGGGGTGGTGAGAAGATTCACCAGAGACAGAGTGGGGAGCAGAGCAGGCAGATGGACGAAGTACACTGCTGAAGGGAGCAGCAGGTGGGTCAGGAGAGGTCTGCCCTGCCATGTGGGTCAAACTCACACTAAAGCAGCTGCGCCAGCCTGCAGTCCTGTGCCCTAACCCACTGTGCCAACAGAGAGGGCCCTTTCTTACATCTTAGATAAAACAATCTGAAAAATTTCAAAACCTGACAACTTTAAGAAAAAATGCTGGCTTGATTCAAGGAACAGTTGAGAAGAAACTTGTATTTAATCTGTGTGATCATTTTGAGACTTTCCTGGTTGGTTAATCAGATTCAAGACTGAAATAGAATGTTGGTGAAGAGCATGAAACTGCAATAGAGGATGTTAAGAAGCCAAGGAGAGTGTGACAGTTAAGAAGGGAGAATGGAGTTGGCTACCTAATCCAAACACACACAAGGAAGTGTTATCACGAATTCAGGGACAGTCACAGGTGAGTTTCCATGTGTTAATAAACTCCTATTATGGTGTGCATGTAAATTTGCAACCTGCTTGAACCCACATTTTGACTACTTTTATTTTAATCACAATTCTGAACTTCTCCACATAAGAGAGGCAGTCTCTGTCCTCAAGCAGGCAATTGACTGCATTTTTTGATTTTGTGGAAACTAACTTTTAAATTAATGTGCTGATATCATTGATAACTGTAAATTAACAAATGTGAGTCTCTTGAATGGAAAGAATATGGAGCCTTGATTTGGTCAAATAGCTTTGGATAGCCAGTGTTTAATCTCTTCTTTTATAGAAGTGAGTAGGTTATATTTTAGAGAATCATCAATAAGTTTTAAGTCCTAACAAGAGATACATGTATTAAAGGTTATTCAAAAAGTAACAAGATGAAGTAAAAATTATATTTACCATAACAAACTTCTTATATGCACTAACCCATTCTGAAGTTTGTATGATGCAATGTCTACTACAACAAAATAAAAATTAATTTTTATAAATTAAGGTGTATTTGAACAAATATTGCCTCAAACGTTTTGGATTACTTATTAGAGGTCAAGTTAAATACAAATGGCACAATGGGTTAAAGTGCAGCAATGAAGCTATCCACAATCATTGCAGCAAGTCCAAGGCCAGGGAGCTGACCCACATGGTGTGGCAGACCTCTCCTGACCTGCCCGCTGCTGTTCCCCTCAGCAGTGTCTTTCAGTAGTTCTGCCTGTTCTGCTCCCCACTCTGTCTCTGGTGAATCCTCTTACTCACTGCACCTCTAGCTTATACCCCAGTTCTTGTATGCATAAATAAATAAATCTTAAAAAAAAAAAGAATGACATGATGACAATGATCATGGATGACATAAAGGAATTGAAACTCCATTTAAAGGTAGAGCTAGAAATTGCCACACATAATGACTTACTGGTGTGTTATCATTGCTTAAATTTAGTTGCAGTTTACTCATTCAAGACTTTTGTGTGAAAACTGATCCTCAATTTAAAGTCAAATACTTTGAGAATCCAAACAATGCCAACAGCAAGGAAGCACTGCAGGAGAGAGTCTCTCTGTGTGCAAAAGCAGCATCTCAGAATTGCTGTGACATTTACAAAAGCCAAAAAACTAATATGTGTTTTTAAGCAAACAGAGATAAAGAATGTTATCAGTGGAAACAAAAGCAAAAAAAGATAAGAAAGTAAAGCATGAAATTATAGTTGGATCCTACCAACCCCTCTTAAAATATCAGAAGATTGTAATTTTTCCATGAAAGATTTAAGTATATGGGGGATTTGGGAATGCAGAGTAAGCACTTTTTAAGCATGTTACATTACTTTTTAAGATACTGAAGGGTTCATGTTTTTGTTTTGTTTTCAAAAAAAAATCACACATGCCTTCTTAAATTATTACAATTGTCATTATTCTTCAAAGTATGGAAATGAATTTTCTCTCTAACAAAATTTCTTACTGAAAAATCCACAAAATGGATTCTATGTGATCACTGTCTCCCATTATGAAATTAGAAGATTTTCACTTTAAAGAATTCTCTACATCACTTTTGAGAACTTCAAGTAATATGCTACTAGCTCTGTGGTTGACCAGGTCTAGTCAGCTAGGAAAATACAGCTCCACAAGACCAAGGATGAGGAGATTTTAGAAGTTTGCCCTTTTCCCTTATTGCCAAAAGTTTTGTTTTATACCTGTTTTACTGAAATATAATCTACATAGCATAAAATTCACCCTTATGAAGTGTAACATTCAGTGGTATACAGTATCTTACCAGAATTACAAAATCCTCATCATTATCTAATTTCAGACATTTTCATCTCCCCACAGAGAAACCTTGTATCCGTGAGCAGTGGATCCCACAAACGCCTCTCTATCCAGCCCCCAGTTAACTATCTACTTAATCTCTGGGAAAACTGTACGGTTTGCCTAATCTGGATACTTTATATAAATAGAATCATGTGATATGTGGCCTTTAGTGTCAGGCTTTTTTTCATATAGCATTATAAATTCTTCCACACTGTACCATGTATTAGTACTTGATTCCTTT